GTTGGATGGAAAAGTTAATAATTCATTTTCTGCATGTTTTATGTTCTTATAGCTTCTTGCTACCACTGAAGGTAATTCTCATATATTTCATTGGGAAATCTAATGGGGTGGAAAGACATTTGCCAGCAAGACAATTGTAACAGGAGAGGGAGAAAAAAAATCCAGACAGAGAAGGATGGAGGAGTGGAGGAGAAAAACAAAGATGGAGGGAAGGAGCAAGGGAATCTGATCTGCTCAGAGGCTCTGTGGTTGAAATAAGTTGCTAATCGTTGTAGTGTTGACACAGTTGCCTTGTTCGGAGATGCTGTCTTTGTTTGCGTTGAAAACACGAACAGAAATCAGTCTCTTTGGCTTACCGCAACACCCAGCTTTAAAGCTAGTTGTGTGGGAAATGGCACAGTCCCCTCCTGAGTGAAATCATCATCTTTGCCACACAAAAGCAAAACCTCCAGCATTTGCATGAGATTTTAAAGAGTCCCCCTCCAGCTTTCTGAAGAGCAACACAAAAAACAAATCTTAGACACCGTATAACACACCCGGTTGCTCTGGATTCCTTTTGGAAGACTTACACACAGGTCCATTGATTTGAAGAGAGGTGCACGTGTCCATCTGGTTGACTGTTGGAAGGAAGGAAGGAAGGAAGGAAGGAAGGAAGGAAGGAAGGAAGAAGGAAAGAAGGAAGGAAAGAAGGAAGGAGAGAGGGAGGGAGAGATGGAGGGAGGAAAGGAAGGAAGGAAGGGGAGAGGGAGGGAGAGATGGAGGGAGGGAGGAAAGGAAGGAAATTAGGAAGAAAGGAAGGAAGGGGAGAGGGGGAGGGAGGGAGGGTGGGAGGAAAGGAAGGAAGTAAGGGGCGAGGGAGGGAGAGATGGAGGGAGGGAGGAAAGGGAAAGGAAGGAAGAAAGGAAGGGGAAGGAGAGGGAAGGGAGAGATGGAGGGGGGAGGAAGGAAGGAAATTAGGAAGAAAGGAAGGAAGGGGGGAAGGATGGAGGGTGGGAGGAAAGGAAGGAAGTAAGGGGGGAGGGAGAGATGGAGGGAGGGAGGAAAGGAAGGAAGGAAGGAGGAAGGAAGAAAGGAAGAAAGGAAGATGGGAGGGAGGGGAGGAAGGAAGGCAGGAAGGAAGGAAGGAAGGGGAGAGGGAGGGGTGTGGGAGGAAAGGAAGGAAGTAAGGGGAGAGGAAGGGAGAGATGGAGGGAGGGAGGGAGGAAAGGAAGGAAGGACTGATGATGTTATCTAGTTGGTAATGAAAACGTCTGCAAACCAACCAACCAGGCTCAGAGAGCACCAAGGTTCTCAACAGTTCAACTCTAAGCTACAAATATTCTAGGAAAGAAGGGAGGGAGGGAGGAGGAAGGCAGGAAGGAGAGGAAGGTGGGAAGGACAGGCAGGCAGGCAGGCAGGCAGGATGGAAGGAAGGAAGGAAGGAAGGAAGGAAGGAAGGAAGGAAGGAAGGAAGGAAGGAAGGTTATAGAAGAGACATCTGGATAAAATCCCAGTTTAATAGTCTATCTGTGCAAATGTGTCAGGTTTATTTGGAAGCAGTGAAGTGGAACACTTGTGTAGGCATGTAGTCAACATCTAAGAACGTCACTCCTTCTTCTTGCCAACTGGCTTAACTTGGCTTGATGGGTGTTGTCCATTTTTGCATTTTGCTTCATTCCTGTAAACTACCTTGGGGATCTTCTCTAAGTAGGCAGAGTTTCCTCTTGCTTCTGTTATCATTTTCACAATTGCTCTGCCCACCTTATCCTCAACTCTAGGCTTTTATCTGGGTCGGTGGGGGGGGGGTCCTAGGGGCTTTGAGTCCAAGGATGTTAAACTCCTCTTTCTTCTTTACTTCCATTTTCTCCCCCTTTCCTGCCCTTCCTCCATCCCTCTCCCCCGATCTTCTTCTCAAACGTTCCTGAATAGGAAAGAAGCTCGTCAGCCAGGACTTCAAATGGATCTCCTCCTCATCCCATCACCAGCCTTGCGGTTTGAGCATCAGGAAAGGACCAGACATTTCCTGGCATGCTTGTTTCCCTTCCACGCCCCCCCCCAACTCATCTCCCCCCACTTCAAAATGGCCTTGGAACTTGCCACTTAAAATGGCCCTCGATTTATTTCGAATGGCCCCCAGGGGCAGACGGAAACTCATGTTCCCTTCAGATCTCTTTGGTAATGAAAACACGGGGGGGAGGAGGAAGAGTAATGTCCCGTCCTCCTTTCCACGTTTCTCTCTTCTTCTTCTTTTTTTTTTTTTTTGCTCCATCCCCGTTTCTCTCTTTTGCTTCTTCCCCTTGCAAGCATTTAAAAGAGGAAGACAAAAAAAAAAAAGAACAAAAAACCCACCACCACCTGGCAGATGTTATTATGATTCAGAGGAGAACCTTCCTGACAGCTCACATTGGCAGGTGCCCGATCCTTTAACAATTCTGAGCTGCGAGTTAAAAGGGAATATGGCTAAACAGCCGTTTCCAAGGGACACGACGTGCAACAAGGAGACAGCTTCACGTTTCCGAGATCAGAAATGGCAGGCCTGCCTTAGTCCAACATGAAAGGCTTGGCACTTTTCCACTCTTTTTTTGCTTTAAAAAAACTCCTTTGCTGTCCTTCCTTCCTTCCTTCCTTCCTTCCTTCCTTCCTTCCTTCCTTCCTTCCTTCCTTCTTTCCTTCCTTCCTTCCTTCCTTCCTTTCTTCTTCCTTCCTTCCTTCCTTCCTTCTTTCCTTCCTTCCTTCCTTCTTCTTACCTACCTTCCTTCCTTCCTTCCTTCCTTCCTTTCTTCCTTCCTTCCTTTCTTCCTTTCTTCCTTCCTTCCTTCCTTCCTTCCCTCTCTGCTCCCCTCCTCTCCTTCTCCTCTCCTGCTCTCTGGTTGCATCTGGAGCTCTGGTGGTAGTTCATTGATTCAATTATTCATCAAGTGGAGTTCTAAGCAATGGAGTTAATCTCAAGCTCACCGTTTCCTTTTCTCGACGGTGGGGAGTGCTCTGATCCATGCAGCCTTGATTAGATGATCGATCGGCTCGCCCACCGTACTGTTTGAAATCAGTACGAAATCCTGTTTGAGGGCCCAGTTTGTGGGGGCACTAAGCTGACTTTGTATAAATATACAAAAAGTATGAAGGCTATTGCTTACCGCATTGTAAGCTGCCCTGAGTCTCTGGAAAAGGGCGGCATAATAAATCGAATAAATATAAATAAATAAATAAATAAATAAATAAATAAATAAATAAATAAATAAATAAATAAATTGGATCGACTTTCTCCATGAAACTGCAAGGTTGATGAGAAGCATTGAAATGAATCAGGCATTTCTGAGTCAATCCAGATAATTTTGAATGCTCCTGGATGGCCCCTTATTTGTATCTATTTCTAATCTCTAAGGCCAAGCAGGGGTCTTCAAGGAAACTATGAGCTGGGCATGTAGGCAGAAGCCCCTTCTCCCACTTATACGTTTCCATTGAAGGTGAAATTTGGACTGGTTAGAAGTCCAGGGAGACTTTTCTACAAAGAACAAAGTTGGACAAGAAGTTAGCTACTCCCCACCTTCCACCCCAAATTGTTACAAGTAAAAATACCTAACTATTTATCTGTAAATATATGAGACTATGTAGGAGTTAAATCTTGATACACCCAATGTCCCTCCCACTGACTCCTCCTTACCTTTAGCTCCTCCTCCTGTATATATATACTGATGTTCTGAGGTATGAGTTTAGCTTGCCTGATGTTCTCCTATGATAAAGAAAAAAAAGAAATAAATATTGTTGAATTTACATGCCTTGCATTCTGGTTATTGGGCCTATATAAAAGAAATACAAGCAACAGATTGGTAGCAGAGGATGGTTTAAAGGCCCAACCAACCTAAAGATGCAAGAAATGTCCTAGAGTCAGTCTCTGTTAAATCGAAGGATCTAGCCCAATAATTCTCAGTACAACACAATAGCCAGTATAGCTTATTTATTCGTAAGTGAAGGTATGGTATAGGCCCAAGCATATATGTATCTGACCTTACATCTTTGCCTTACAAATATTCAACTGGATCTGAGGGAGGTGCCCTGGTGGATGGACTCGGAGGAAGGAGTCAAAGGTAAGGTGGGGTTGTGGGGATGATGGGTTTGAGTGAGTTAACCCATGCTGAAGCATGGTGTGGGGATCTGTACAAGAGTTAGACATTTTATTTGACACAAATCAAAAGATTGCTTTCATACGTTGACTGCCAAGATGTCTTCCTGGCTAGTTGGGTTTGCATTGGGTTCGAATCCCAGGAGAACATTTAAATTGGATTGCAAGGAAACCCACGTTTGAAACTCCTTTCCAGGACACGAAAGGACACCTCTGCTGCAGCTGGAGCAGTTGTTGGGGTGTGTACATGTTTATGCCGGTGTGTCCTTGCCTTCATGATGCTTTTCAATTTAAAGTCATTTTGTATGCTCGGTGACTTTCTTGAGAACACGGGGAAGCAGAGAGGCAGAATCCCCTGGAGGCTGCAGAGATGATTAAACAAAACAGGAACTTTGCTCATATATTAGTAGGCAGAGGAGGAGGAGGAGGATGGATGGATAATGTACACAGAGGAGCTGTGTACATTAAATAAAGGTAAAGGTTCCCCTTGCACATATGTGCTAGCTGTTCCCAACTCTAGGGGGCGGTGCTCATTTCTGTTTCAAAGCCAAAGAGCCAGCGCTGTCCAAAGACATCTCCGTGGTCATGTGGCCGGCATGACTAAACACCAAAGGCACACTGAACGCTGTTACCTTCCCACCAAAGGTGGTCCCTATTTTTCTACTTGCATTTTTTACGTGCTTTCGAACTGTTAGGTTGGCAGAAGCTGGGACAAGTAAAGGGAGCTCACCCCATTACACGGCGCTAGGGATTCGAACCGCTGAACTGCCGACCTTTCGATCGACAAGCTCAGCGTCTTAGCCACTGAGCCACCATGTCCCTTATTTTGTTTATATCTCACCTTTATTATGTTTATAAACAACTCACTTTAGCAAACATATTTAATTGTCCTTATTTGTAGGAGACGACCAGGCTGAGCATGAGGGAGGGGCCAAATGCATCATCAGTCTCGAGTCCCCTTGTGTCCTCAAGAGAACTAAATCCAGCCCACCTTGAATTCCATTGACTCTTATCTACCACCAATTTGCTTTGACCGTTAGTAGTTCAGATTCTTGTAGGGAGCTTAAGCTTTCAATAAATCGTTTGAACTGCCTGGATTTCCTGATTTCCCGCACTTGACATTACTACTCCTATTTTCCTCACAACAATCCTTGAGGTGGGTTGGGTTGAGACAAAGGGACTGGCCCAAACTCACTGGGTTGGCTTCCATGGTGAACGTAGGACTAGAACATATCATCTCCTGGTAATTATTACCTAGTTGGGTTATGGAATGTCTGCAAATCAACAACCAAACTCAGAAAGACAAGGAATTCTCAATTCTTCTTAATCTTGGGCTCTGTTGTTGTGATGAATTGCCCAGATCCTTAGTCAAAAGTCAGTGGTCCTGTGTGACTGAACATCTTACTACCATTGGCATGTGTTCGTGAGTATCAGAGTATTAGAAGAGGCCCAAAGTCAATGATGAAACGAACGTTCTATTGGCAGAAGGTCAGATGTTCAGTAGTTAGACCCATCAAAGATCCTGTAAGATATAAATAGAGATTGTAAAATGCTGCCAGCTGGAGGAAATAATGAGAAATTTATAAACCAGTGGTATGACACTCTGGGTTAGCCAGATGTATTTATTCAGCAAGAATGGAGAAGCGTGTATCACCGAATTTAGCACCTTTAATTCTCCTGAGAAGCTGAGTTTTTATAAAAAAGATCAACCCAAACTGTTTTTTTTTTTTGCCATGAAAGCATTATTGAATATAAGGAAGCGATGCCCCTTGGAATTTCAAAAAAATAAAATAAAGTTAAGCAACAGCAGAAGGGTTGAAACGAATAAAAAAATCGCTATACAGGCTATGCAAAAGCAGGTAAATGAACTCAGATGAAACTAGTACGAATCCATTTGTTTTTACTTGGTCCAAAGCTCGGATTATTGAGAGGGCAGGGGTGAAATCCAGCAGCTTCTGGAGAACAGTAGCGGAAATTTTGAGCAGTTCGGAGAACCAGCAGCAGAAATTTTGAGCAGTTTGGAGAACTCAGCAAATACCACCTCTGGCTGGCCCCAGAGTGGGATGGGAATGGAGATTTTGCAATGTCCTTCCCCCTGGAGTGGGGTGGGAATGGAGATTTTGCAGTGTCCTTCCCTGGAGTGAGTGGGAATGGGGATTTTGCAATATCCTTCCCCTGGAGTAGGGTGGGAATGGAGATTTTGCAGTGTCCTTCCCCTGGAATGGGTGGGAATGGGGATTTTGCAATATCCTTCCCCCAGGAGTGGGGAGGGAATGGAGATTTTGTAATATCCTTCCACCAGGAGTGGGGAGGAATGGAGATTTTGCAATATCCTTCCCCTGGAGTGGGATGGGAATGAGGATTTTGCAATATCCTTCCCCAAGAGTGGGAGGGAATGGGGATTTTGCAGTGTCCTTCCCCTGGAGTGGGGTGGGAATTGGAGATTTTGCAGTATCCTTCCCCTGTCATGCCCACCAAGCCATACTCACCAAGCCACATCCACCAAGCCCCATCCACAGGACCGGTATTAAAAAATTTGGATCTCACCATTGTGAGAGGGGCATACAAATAAAATTTGTTGAGTATTAACACACACAAACACACACACAAAATGTAAATCACTGTCCTTGAGCTAGAAGACTGGGCCAAGAAAAAGGGTGTGATCAAGAGGAAACAAGAAGTAGAGAAAAGAAGATTTCTCAGGGTCCACGCAGTGAGAGGTTGAGTAGCAAGATGATTAAAGAAGAGCTCACTCATTCTTCTCACCTGTCAGCTGAAGAATGCCACTTCTACCTGCACTACCTGTGAAACAACTAAGACAAATATCTCTCTCTAAAAGTAGCACAAATTTTGCTATGTTGCATGTAAGCTTCGCCCACAAATGGTTGCTAGTAGCTCTGGTTGTTAAGGGATAGTTTTGTGTAGATCATTGTCTCGAGCATGATTTCATTGGTCAATGACCAAAATCAAGTTTCTTCTTCTTCTTCTTTTTTAAAATAATTTTTATTACAATTTTTCTTTACACAATTCCAGTACATAATCAACAGACTGTGTCATTTTTGTCTACTTCGGATCAACATTGCATACAATATATACATTATATACATTCAATACCTAATTCTCAATAGCCTTATGTATATTTCTGCCAGATTACTGGTGGCACAGTACTGGAAGAAGGAAGATCCACCTACCAGATGGATTGACCATATGCAAAAAAAGTATCCGAACAATAAGATTCATATAGCTTATGAATGAAATATTTTTAAGTAGTTTATGTTTATAGTTTTTGAGTTATAAGGAGTTAAAGATTTAGGGAGAATATGAATGCAATAATTTGTTATCATATTTTAGCTTTATATTTGTGAATGCTATACCCTGTGCCTGTTCTGGGAAGTCTAGGGAGGGGGGTGGGGGGGAAGGAGGGGAGTGGGAAAGGGTGGGGGGGGAGAAAATGCTTGTATTTCTTATAAAACATTTCAATAAAAAAAATAGCCTTATGTATATTTCCAGTTTTTATTTCTATTGTCTATCCAGGTATACCATTTTTCCCAAACTGCGTAAAATTCCGAATCATCTTTTTCTTTTAGTTCTAAAGTAAATTTATCCATTTCTGCACATTCATGTATCTTCTGAATGATCTGGTGGTGTCGACTTTCTTCTTATCAGAATGAGATTGATCAAGGTCTAGGCAGTGAGAGGTGGAGTAGTGAAAGCATTAAAGAAGAGAGAACCAAATAACAGAGTTGGAAGGGACCTTGGAGGTCTTCTCGTCCAACCTTCTGCTCAAGTAGATGACTCTATACAATTTCAGAAAAATGGCTGTCCAGTCTCTTCTTAAAAATCTCCAGTGTTCGGGGCAGCCACAACTTCTGAAGGCAAGTCATTCCAAGGATTCATTGTTCTCACTGTTACAAAATTTCTCCTTAGTTCTAGGTTAGATCTCTCCTTGTTTAGTTTCCGTCCATTGCTTCTTGTCTTTCCTTCAGGTGCTTTGGAAAATAAATTGACAAAAAAAAAACAACCCTCACCTTTGTAGGAGCCCCTCAAACATTGGAACAGTTTTATCGTGTCTCCCCTAGTCCTTCTTTTCATTAAACTAGACATACCCAATTCCTGCACCCATTCTTCATATATTTTAGCCACCAGTCCCCTAATCGTCTTTGTTGCTCTTTTCTGCCTTCTTTCCAGAATCTCAACATCTTTTTATAATATGTTGGTTTTGACATTCGATACTGATTTTTAATTGAAATGTTTTAAATTAAGGGCCAAATTTCATTTAATTATTTTTTATTTATTTATTTATTCAATTTCCATACCGCCCTTCTCCCGAAGGACTCAGGGCGGTGAACAGTTAAAATAGCATACATATAAAATGTGAATATAAGATGATTAAGCCAATTTGGTTCATCAGTTAAGAATTTTCAACATAAAGATTTAGGAAAATTGGAAGAGATTTATGCCAGCCCGGCTTGGTGAAATAGAAAGGTCTTAAGTGCACGACGGAAAGTACGAAGATCTGGGATCTTAAAGTTAAAATTATTTTAACTTTTGTGTACAAATGTTTTTTATTTTGGCTGTTCACCGCCCTGTGTCCGAAAGGAGAAGGGCGGTATACAAATCTAATAAAAGATAAAGATAAAGATAAAAGATATGGGGACCAGAACAGGATGCAGTATTCCAACTGTGGACTTACTTAGGCTTTTATAAAGTGGTACTAATACTTTACGCAAATCATTCCTTTTTTCTCAGCCATCAATGCAAGCCACCTAGACAGGAGTGGGCTTCAAAAATTTTAGCAAGGGGTTCTCTGCCCAATTGCTGGGTGGGCATGGCCATGGTGGGTGTGGCCTAGTCGGCCTCCTGCACCACAGCAGAGGGAGCGTTTTTGTCCTCCCCGGGCTCCGGAGTCTTTCCTCGAGCCTCCAGAAAGGCAAAAATGGCCTCCCCAGGCTTCGGAGGCCCTCTGGAGGCTGGAAACAGGCCCATGAATTTCCGGTAGGCCTGTTTTTCACCCTCCCTGAGCCTCCGCGCGCACCCTGCACATACCTGCATCCAAAATGGGCTGTGTGGGGACTCCTGGGAGGGGAGGGGAGGGGTGGGCAGTGCCAGCCAGGAGTGGGATTTGGGGGTTCTCCGAACTGCACAGAATCTTAGCTATAGGTTCTCCCAAACCCTTGCGAACTCCCAGCAGCCCACCCCTGCACTTAGAGTAGTTCCATAAACGAGATAGGCGACAAATAAATTTAACCAATAAATAAATACTGTACCCACGGTCAAAACGCTTAGAATTTGGAAGGACTTGAGAGATCGGCTCTAAGATATCTTTCGGCGTATCTGCAGCTCTGAAACTCTCATTTTTTCCCCCTCCCCACTAATTCTAAATAGAACAGTTCTCTCTGGAATAGGCGTAGTGTGGAAGAGAGAGAAGAGGGTAATTATTGCTCTTAGATTCAGAATTGTGGATCAGATCAGCCCTTTGTTATCAATTCACCTTTCTGCGCATCGCAAGTCTTCCTTTCTCTCTTCTTCCGACTCTCCTTTCCCTCAAAACCTGTAATTATTTTGCGAATTCCAATTACAGCCTGTTTTGCTTTGCAAAGCAGTCCAGGATTCAGCCGAGGTGGAATTTCCCACAAGTCAAGATGGAGTCATTAAATCTCCTGAAAATGGGGTTGAGTCTCCAAGGAGCCAAGGGTAATTGATAGCTTGGGTTTTGCCAAGAGCGATGCAAAATGCTTTCCTGTATATCGCCGCTTTCCAAGAGCAGGTATAATGGGGGAGTTTGCACATCATTCAGTCTGAGTGGAGGTGATTGAAGCATGATTTCAAATAAAATCCATGACCTTTATTACTCAAAACCATGACCTGCAAGATGCCTTGAGTAAAAACCCAAGGATGAAATACAGTTGCAAGCAAAGATGACTGAGTTATCCAAAGCTTGCAACAAGCCGGTGTCTTTATTAGGGTCAACTAAAAATGGCACAAGAGAGATGTGTGAGCTTCAGTTTTGCAAACCCCATCTTCAGTTTTTAAAAAATAGAATAGAATAACAGAGTTGGACCCTGGAGGTCTTCTAGTCCAACCCCCTGCCCAGG